GTACTAGGAATAGAAAGATACCAGACTACAGTCCCTCCCTTATAGAATTACAATCTAGTAAAATAAATTTTATTTCAAAAGTTTGTAATTTTCTGAAGGAAAAGAGAACCTTGGAAACAAGTAACACTGATAAATATCATTCTTGCCCATGTCTCAATTCCTTTATCTTCTCAGATAGCCATCTGTGCTCAAATACTACAGACTCTCCCTCCCTATTTATGCATCTTATCCTTTATCTCCCCAGCCATTTTACAGCATCTCCCTTATTCCCATACTGTGAAACTATATACTACATAGTTCATGTGTGCATTTAAATATGTTTTCATTGATTTTTTTTAAAGAGAGAGAGAGAGGAATGATGAGGGAGAGAGAGAGAGAAATATCAGTCTGTTGCCTCCTGCATACACCCTGATCATGGATCAAACCCGCAACCTGGGCATGTGCCCTGACCAGGAATCAAACCCAAGACCTTCCCGTGCATGGGAAAACATTCAACCACTGAGAAACACCAGTCAGGCTCACTTAGACTCTCATCAGTTTCTCCTTCCTGGGGACTAAAAGCATGGTCAGCTAGCTGGATTCATAAAATCTGTCAGTTTGACAGACTGGGAGTAAAAAAACAGGGCACGAGTTAAAAAGAAAAAGGTTAGAATAATTTTTATGAAAATAGACCTGAGATGGCAAAAATATAAGCACTTGGTGGCATTAGGATGTGGGTCAGAAGGCGAGAGAGTTTGTCAGCAAAAGTTATGTGAACATGTGCAGACAACACTGGGGCCAGACTAGGGATTCACTAGTGAACTTTCTATCCCCACCAACATTGGAAACAGGCAAGAACAGACTCATCTTGCTGCTTCTGGTCATAACTGCTTTCATGAGGCTGTGCTCCCATGACATACATGTAGTACACACCTGCAATACAGAGCACAAAGACTGCTGTGTAGTGATCAATTGGGCTAATTAATTCAAGTGTTTATTATGTACCAATATTAGCATATTAAAGTGATCATGCTAAATCCTAGCACACAAGTAGTTGTGAAATTAAGTAGCATTAAACAGAGGGTGTTTGGTAAGGTGATTGTCAAGAAATAGATGCTCTTTAAATGGCTATAATTACCATTCACAATATCTATTCCTGAATGGATGGTGATTCAGGCGGGGGGGGGGGGGGGGGGGGCGGAGCAGGGTCTAAGTCAAAAGAAACCTGAAAAAATTTTTATTCAATCATTTAATAGTATCACTTTATTTACTTCAAAACTTCAGCTCTACTGTGCCATTTGCTGAGCTTCCTAAGAGATTAAATTCTGCCTTATGAAACACTCAAGTGTTGTTTTTGCTTTTAGCAAACACTTTTTCCTCAGACTTTGTGTTCACAAATTCTTAAGATCCAAGTCAAGAAGAGTTTACCGCATTAAGCAAAATAGCACAAAATAATTAATAAAGTCCATTTTTAAGGCAGTATTTGCCCTTCTGTTTTTCTACTGAGCCTCAGTGGGTGGCAGGTGAGAATTTACTCATTCATCCCAGAAAGGCTGAGTGAGCTCACTGAGGCGCAGGGAATGTGTAGGTAGAGGCCCAGAAACATAACTGACAGTAGCTG